CCAATTTTTAATGGTCACACACGGATGTGGGACCAGCCCATTCCACATCTCTCCCCCTTTTATCAGTCTTGAGATGGCTTCTTCTGTATATCCTTAGTTGTAGGGCTTTGGTTCAGCAAGATTTTAGGTAATTCTTAATGATGGTTGTTTTGCAGTTTAGTTGTAATGTTGATGTGGTCGTGAGAGAAAGTAAGCCCAGCGTTTATCTACTATGCCATCTTGACTGGAAAATCTCCTATTCCCCAGTTTTAGTTGGGAAGGTCTAATATGTTATCTACTGCTTTCTCCCCTTTCTACCCTAAAAGAAACATCATTTCTGCCTTTCCTCAGATGCTTTATTTTCCTACACCTCTCCTTCATTTTCTACTTTTATTTTCTAACAGCTGGGTTTATTTTAGCCACTTCAATAATTTAAAATTCTAATTCTATATAAAATTTCTCCACATGTGTATCTCTTTGTTTCAAGACACCTCTTAAAAAAAGGGGCCACTCTGATAGCTTGCTGCCTGTAACAGGACTCCATCCTGCCTGGCTAGCTGTGACTCATAGGAATAGAGAGAAACACGTGCCTGTTCTTAAACTGCCATCTTTAAATTAAAAAGCATTAAAATTAATTTTCCATAAATATTACAGAAGTAGGAACTAAAGGAAGAGCTGAATTTTAGATAAATATTTCTTTATCACATGCCATTGCTCCCCTTCCAAAGGACCCTTTCAAAGTTAAGAAACAACTTATAAAATATTAACAGGTAGGAATTAGCTTGTAAAATTACATCTTTTAAATCATGAACACTATCAACCATCTTGCTATGAGAGATAAAAAAAACAGATTTCCACTTTTTTCTATTTCCAGTTCCTTCATGTCTTTATTTTAGTTTGTTATAGCATTATTTTTATTTGGCTAATGTTTATAATATTTGCATTCTGGTCATTAAGTTTGGTTCTTAATTGTATATTTAAGTAGATTAGTCACCACTCATTTTTTTTTTTAAGATTTTATTGGGGAGTTGGGGGAGGGGAACAGTGTTCGGGAATTGAGGAAGGGAACCAGCCAAGTTGTTGTTATTCAATCTTCGTTGTGGAGGGCACCAGTTGCTATCTGGTTTCCCGTCTGCAGCTTGTGGCCTCTAAGCTCAAATCAAGGTGCTGTGTTCAATCTTAGTTGTGGGTGGGCGTAGCCACCATCCAATGCGGGAGTCAAACCAGCAGCCTTGTTGTTAAGAGTGTACGTTCTAGCCACTGAACCATCTGGGCAGCAGCTCAGCTCAAGGTGCTGAGTTCAGTCTTCGTTGAGGGTGGGCATAGCCCACCATCAAACAGGCAATCTTGTTGTTACACCAGCTGAGTCATCTGGCCACCTGTTGGCAGCTCAGCTCGGGCGCAGCGTCACTGGCCTATGTGGGAATTGAACCGGTGGCTCTGTTGCTCAGAGCTCGTGCTCTTAAGCCAACTCTGAACCAACCTAGCCACTCAGCCGGCCCCACCACTCATCTTTTACACAACTTTTCCTGCCTGATTTTTAATTTTGATCATTCCTTGGAAATTAAATCCATTATCAAGTAGTTTTTACAAGAAGGGCTCAGAGTAATGTATATTCAACACTTAGCATAATTCCAGGTAGTAATCATTGTTAAATGCTATTTAATAATAATAAATAGAATAATGATAATAATACCTTTTCTATTTACTTATTCCTTTATTTAATAGTTTTTCATTTTTAAATTGATGTCTTTTTGTTCTTCACAGAATAAAATCATTACCTCTTTTTTTATTTTTTTAAAGGTGTATTTACAGGAGCATTTCTTTTCTCACTCGCCTTTCTATTTTGGTTCCTTTCACTGTGTAGAAACTTTAATTGTATGTAATTAAATCTGATGATTTTTCTTTGTGATTTCTTCTATTCTAAATTTACATACTCTGTATTCAATTTTATAGTCTTATTTTTCTGTAATTGAAATTTAATATCTTAATATATAGCTCTGTAATTCACTTAGTTTATTTAGTATATGGTTTAAGGAGAAACTCAAAGTTAATTTTTCTCCCAAATTCATAAACAGCACACATTTTTGCCAAGTTCTTCCCTTCATATATTTGTTGACTGTTAAATTCTAATATACAGACCCCCTCCACATTTTTCTCTCTCCTAGCTTTCTTTTGCTTTCTTTTCAGCTGCTTATTTTCATACCTTGATTTCTTTTGTGATACAGAGCCTAACCCCCTGCACTGCAATTCACGTCGATTGTGTCATTTAAGAATTCTCTGAATCAGCTTTTTTCAAATTATGTTTCCATGTTTCAACAAAGTCTCTGCAACATACAGTGCAAAAATCCTGTCACATCTCTTATTTTTCCAACTTAAGCTTAATATTAATAGCAGATCAAACTGCTACTTTCCATGTTTAATAAAAAATGCTGAAGTACTTTTGTCTAAAAGGTCTTACTTTCACAACAAAGATGGGAAACAAGTTGACCCTCAGTTATGCAAATTGATTCACTTTCCTCCTCTGTGAACAAACTTCTCACACCAGAGGTTTTAAGCATCTACAGATTGAATTGGATCACAGAAGGTTTTATTACCCTGTTATACTGAGACAATGAGTGTAAACTCTCCATACATTTGTCAAACTAAAAGAGCCACTCTCAGTGGTATCTATGGGACAAACACCCTCCATTACAGCATTCAATAGTTTGTTTCATTAATTAATTTTTTAATGTCTATCTTCCTCAACATACTGTGAGTTGCTGGAGGGCAGGAAATATATGTCTTTTATTCTGTGTCTCTAATGCGGAGCACAGAGTCTACCATGTGGTGGAGGCTTACCTACTATTCATTAGTGAGTGGTTAACTTTCATAAGCCCCACCCCCTGCCCCAAACCAACCTATTGACCAACCAACCAGTTAACCAACCATCACACAGTTAAACAGAAGCAGTGACACATTTTTAAGTCAATTTACCAAATTTATTCAAGTCAGTTGTGTTTGAATGCAGTCAGGCTGTTTCAGTTATTGGATCAAGATTCTGTGAAAATCCAAGGATGAATCAGACACAATTTTGTTTCCTCAAGGAACTCAGAATTTCTGAGACTAGGTGTCACATTAGCTTAAATTTAATTCAAATGGGAAACTGATTCATACCACAGAAGCTTTGTATCAGGAGAGAGAAGAAAGGAAGAGAAGAATAGTCCTCCCCCCCCCCACCTCCATTAACCTATAGGGACAAGAAAACCATAATTTTGGTCTTATTAAAAGCTGTCCTATGATTAATATTTCCATCTAAGAAGCAATTAAGGAATTATTATCCAGAAAGATTGTGACAAAAAGAATTATATCATGCAAGCTCTGTTCAGGCAGAATAAGACTCAGCTTTGAATATTGAAAATTAGTCCTTTTAGACTAAAGGCTTACATTTTGTCCTTAACTTTTGCTTAGGTGCTATATAGGAACCACTGAGTGGATAAGAAATAAATTATCTAGAAGTACTTAGCAAATGCAATCCACAGTGCTACATGGAATACATTATAATCATGGTGTGGTAATAAGGATAATAATAATTTAACATGTGTTGTAGACTCCAAGGGGCAACAATGTGTTTTAGTCCATTAAAGCACTTGCATTTTGAGATATAAAAGTGCACTTTTCACTGTTATAGGAAGTACTTAATTATTTCCAACTATTATTGAAATTGTGGAGAAATCATCTTGCCTCAAATTGTGTTCACAAGTGTGTCTAACTATAAACATTTTATCAGAATTTTTTTGCAAGCCCAGTTAATTTTTAAGGTGCTAAGTGGAAAGGTTTACTACAATGCCTATAAAATAGCTTTAAAAATGCACAAGACAACTCAAAAATAGGTACATCTTTCATACCTATAGATTCAGAGAAGCATAGAGTAGCAAGCGACCCTCCGTTTACTCAGGAGAGAATAGTGACCAGAAAGGTCAGTTGTCTTGTCAAGTGGCAGTAGGGCTGGGGGCCAAACCTATGCTTTCTTACCTTCTGTCTAGTGCTTGGAATACTATATAGCGTTGTCATTAGAGGATTTTTTTAAATGGAAAGAGTGGGATTTTTATGTCTCCTTTTGAGAGATGGAGACTGAGAGGTGCCATGTCAAGAAACAACCTAGTTGAGCCATGTAGGTAGCAAGTGGTGGTCTCTGAACAGAATCAGAGTCTATTCACCACTGCTCCCTCCACGGTGCCCAGCTCAAAGCTGAGCTCCTCCAGGACCACTGTCCTCTGCTGCAGGATTGTTTTCCTACCTGTTATCTCTCCATACTGCCAAAGAGGTCGCTGCCCCCCTTGGAAGCACTGAGGGCTATCAGAAAAAGGCCTGGATGTTCCTTGGATCTAGTTAGGGAAAGGTCATCACCAGAAACACCTTCAATTTAACAAATATTTATTAAGCACTTACTATATGAGGTGTGACCAAATAATACAGTGAATGCTGCTGTTGAGTGTCATCCAATGGAAAGGTAGGGCTCTTCAATATGGGAAGTGACACTTTGAACCTTAGTAACAGTGTGTGATAAGTTTCAGCTTGTTTGGTGCAGTTGGGTATGAGCTATGGTTGAGAGAAGGTGTGTTTTAAAGTGTGCTGTAAATCATCCTTTATCATGACAATGCTCCGTGTCACACATTGCTTCTGGTATACGTCAGTTTCTCTCAAATAAAAACGTTATGGTGTATCCTCATCCACCTTATTCAACAATTCTGGCACCAAGAGAATTCTGGGTCTTCCCCAAAGTCAGAATGACCATGAAAGGTAAATGTTTTGAATCGATTCAGGACATCAAGGCAGCCACAATAGCGCAACTAAAGACACTCATGAAAGAGGACTTCCAGAACTGCCTCAGAAACTGGCAAGAATGTTGGGATAAGTGTGTTCAAAATGAGGGGGAGTATTTTGAGGGGGATTAATGGCAATGGGTCTTTTACTGTAATAATTTTTTACAGTAAACATTTTTAAAACACTGTATATTTTGATCATACTTCATATGCTAGGCACTACTCTAGAAGCTGGAACCAATGAATGAAACAAGAAACTTCTCTCAAAGAGCTTACAGTCTAGAACAGAGACAAGCCAGAGGAATAAAGTGGAAAAGATTATGGTAAGTCCTTGGCTGTGGGAGGTGTTCTCAGGAATGATGGGAGTCTTATTCCACATTTGAGATGAAAAGTTTATTTGCTGTGAACTTTTGCGTTTCCGCTGATCCCAGCATAGTGACGTTCTGCTCACTCCTTTAGTCTGCCACCTTCAAAATATTGTTTGTCTACAGTAGCCATTTCTCACAGTCTTTTTCAGAAAATTTCCACATGATTAATATTACATTAAAACACCTCTACTTTGGGTATGTTTGCGGTAGATGCCATCCAGCTGTGGCTGTCAATGGGTCACGCTATGTGATAAATGAGTTAAAATAGAGCTCTGGAAACACTGTCACTTTCCTCCATTAATGCAAGAGCCATGGATGGGTTCCTGCACTATCACTGCTCCGAGATCAACAACAGAGCCCTGTGTACAAAAATTCTCCTTATGTGAGTCTCAGACACTCGAGGGATGGCAGGTACCAATGAACTCCTCACGGAAGACTCATCCTCCTTCATAGGAGTTGGCCAACAGTGGGACCCTAAGTCACTTCTTGGTTAGAGTTTCTTTTTTCTTTCTGCCACTGTTCATGTGACATGTTTCTATTTTTCTAGGTGGTACATTTGGACACTATGGGAGACTATCTTTGTCATATTTTTGGGAAGTCTGGAATTATCCCAAGGTGAGACATGGTGTCTGGCTAAGTGAACCAGAGGTCCCCATCTCCATGTCATCTACATGGATATGACTCAGTGCCGGGGAGATTGTAACTGTGTGTTTGGACAACCTCTACCTGGAGCTAGCCTGAGCATTCTCTGTTTCTGCCTTTTAAACATTAATGCTTTGGGTTTTCATCTTCTGCTTTTTACAGCCCTTCACCAGAGAGAGAACAAGGCACCTGCTTAGGTTTTGCTTACTTAACTACACTCACAGCCACTTCTCCTTAAGGTGGTACACAGAGCACCTTGGGTAGAGTTTGGTGGCTAATGTATTCTCTGATCAAAGTCTCTTGTTTGTAGTGGTGTAATCTGTGGAGGACAACCTTATTTTTGTATCTCCTGGTTCTAGGGTTCATACCCTGAAAGGAGAAGCAGCTGCCATTTCCTTTATATTTGTGTGTGTAATTGATAAGGAAGGCCATGGAGGGAATCTGAAGCCAGTCTTCAATATCTGCTCACCCAGGCAGGGGGAAACCATCAGACAGGTATGGCCCACTGAGCAGTGTCCCTTTAGATCCAGTAGGACTTCATTTAAGTCAGCTCCTTCCTGTTCACACACTCTAGGAGGCCTCATAGCTGCCACCTTGCTGCTTGGCTTGGCCCTGGATGCAAGCTTTCTCAGTCTATCGACCAGCCAATTCTGGCCACTGCTCCCTAGGTTCTGGGGATGCTTCTTGGCTTCACAGGGTGATGGGGAGATTCTTTCTCTGTCCCTTGTATACAGGAAGAACAACTGCCTGATTAAGATGGAGCTGAAAGCAGAATCTTTTTGAACAGGAACCAGACTGCCATGACAGCTGGAATATTATTACTGCATGAAATAATAATGAACTATCACATCTGTTCCCTGACTAAAGCAGTCAGTATTGTATTGATTTTTATTCTTTGACCACTCTTGAGTGGGTTGCACATAAATGAGGTAGAGGGTTAAAATGCGGGTAATTGTTGGTGTTAGGTTGTGGCTTAATGGAAAAACTAATGGTTGAGGCTGGCCAAGTGGCTCAGTTTGTAAGAGCACGAGCTCAGAACAACAGGGCTGCTGGTTCGATTCTCACATGCACCAGTAAGCTGAGCCCTCTACAGCTAAGACTGTGAACAACAGCTCAACCTGGAGCTGGGCTGCCGTGAGTGGCCAGCAACGTGTTGGTTGCAGTGGGCTGCAGTGGGCTGCTGTGAGCTACCGTGAGTGGCTGGCAGCCAGCGTGAGTGGCTGGCAGCCTGTGAGAGCTGTCATGAGCTGTCATTAGAGGCTATCCAATGGCTGGCGACAGACTCCCTCAGCCGGGAAGAGCACAATGATCATAATACCAACATGGGCCAATGAAGTGGTGTCCTTCACAACTAGACTGAAGAACAAAAGGACAACAACTTGGCTGTTCCCCTTCCCCAATTCCCCAATGCTGTTTTCCCCCATTCCCCAATAAAATCTTTAAAAAGAAAAAGGAAAACCAATGGCTGTCCCTGGAGGGGCTTCCTCAGTGGGGAGTGGGCCTCCTTCATGTTGATCTGGGTGACCCCATTGGAGACACTGGAAGCACAGCCATTGTTTTCTTCCCACTGGAGGTTGGTTAGACATGCTTTGACTTTTTTCAGGGTGTGGTGCTAGGGGTCAGTATGCAGGGGAACACATCTGCCTCTCCATTTCCATGGATATAACACTGGTCCAAGCCGCCTCTGATTCTGGGACTCCTGATGCTCGGACTCCTGAGCTGGTTTCTCTGCATCTACTGGCCTTGCTTCTTTTTGTCCACTTTCCACTCTGAAGCTGGAGCTCTGCAAAGGAGGCCATGCCACTTAAAGTCCTCCAGCTGCATTCTTGCCTCAAACCACCCTCCCCTTGCTCATGAATTCTTCTCTGTCACAGGCCCTTGGTACTTGCAGTTCTCTCTGGCTGGAGAGTTCATCACATGTCTGGACCTGTTTCATTCTTTAGATTTGTTTAAAGGTCCCCTCATTAAATAAACCTTCCTTTACTCTTATCTCTTGCATCCCTAACTTTACCCTGCTCTATGTACTCTCTATATCTTCCTTTCTATGGTCATCAGAGCTGATTATGTGAAATTATCTTTGCTGTGGTTGTTTTTTAGACCATCACATCTGCAAAGCAAGGATCTTGTCTGTTTGGGTGAGGACTATTTTCCCAGTGCTCATAACTCAGTAGCTACTCAAGAAAAGACGCTGTTGAATGAATCTCTCTTTAAAGCTCTAGGTTTATGGCTATAGCTGCAGCTTCCAGAGTCATTCCAAAGCTACACATGGTCAGGAGTATGACAATGGAAAGAAGCTCCTCAAAAATCTCTCTATATATTTGGGGATTTAGTTATATCTTTTGAAAGTTAGGGCTTCAGCTTTCTCATATCTTATAAGAACAGTTTGAAATGGACTAGACAACCTCTTATAATCTTTTCTGGTCTGAATTTTGATGATTTCAATGTGATCTCTGTCTCTCTGGGATCCCCATCTTCTCAGACTCTAGAAGAGGGATAATTGCACACAGATATTTATGGTATTCCTATAGATGCTGTGTATTTATGAGATGGCTGTATGACTGATCTTGTTTTTTTTTTTTTTGTCTTGGAGAAAACATTTCTTTGATTTAGTTATGTCTGATTTAGAAAAGTTTAATTTTTTTAAAGAGTAAGAGACTTGTTTGTGGGTTGCATTGATGCTGCTCTGAAGAATTGTGAGCCATGTTCTCTCTCTCTCTCTCTCTCTCTCTCTCTCTCTCTCTCTCTCTTTTTAGTTAAAGTTAATGGGTTGACAATGTTAGTAAAGTTACATAGGTTTCAGGTGTACAATTCTGTAATACATCATCTATATATCATATTGAGCCATGTTCTCTTAGAGCAAGCTTGTCAGAGTTCTATCTGGTCACACAGGGAGAGGGGGCTTCCCTTCCCCTCTTGTCCTCTCACAGGCCCAAATATGTGGGGGCAGGAAGTTAATTATCACCTCCTAGGATGCTTGGAACCTCCTCTCCTCTGGAAAGGACTGTCCTCATGCTGGTTCTCAGAAGGGAAGAGGGGAAGAGACCCACACGGATAATTATTTCCTTGGCTCTGTGCCTACGTGCTTGATGTCCTTGATCTTTGATCATGAAACTCATGCAGAATTCAGAGTGGAGAGAAGTGTTGGCTGGAGAGACTCCCAAACCCCCTACTTGGTGATTATTATGAGTTTGGGTGTCCACTCTGTGCTGAGTCACTGTGGAAGCCAGCTGGGCTTCAGCAAAGGCCACTGCATGGAATCTCCTCCCCACAGTTGTCAAAATCAGACTCTCCAGAGAGACAAGGGGTGTTACACATGAAAAACCTCCACTCTGCCGGCTCCTCTTAGCCCACCAGACAATCAGCTGCAATGAGGCTGAGAGCAAGTGGCTTTGGAAGCTCTAAACTGCATAGTCTGAGCTCTGGGACGATATGAGAGAGGATGCCTGAGAAGAGGGAAGATGTGAAGCACTTGTCAGGACAAATTGACATCCCTTTCTCACTTCATGTGGAAACTCACACTTGTAGGTCTGGCCCCATACTGCACACTGTGCCAAGTGGTCCATATTCTTTGCTTCACTTAGTCCTGACAACATCGTGTGAAGCAGGATCTTGTTTTTAAATTACTATTACACATCTTAGAAAGGATAACAATTTTGTCCAAAGTCACACAATCCATACCTAGAGGTGAGATGTTCCAATTTTCTTTTGCTGTGTAACAAACCATCCCCAAACTTAGTGGTATAAAATGTCAACCATTTATTAAGCTCACAGATTCTGTGGGTCAGGACTTTGGGCAGGGCAAGTGAGATGGCTCATCTCTGCTCCACCAAAGACTCTAATGCCTGTAGGTGTTTCTGGTTGGAGGGGATCTCTGGAAGGCTGAGTTCTACTGGAACAATTGCCAAGAGCACCTACATGTGGCTTCTACATGTAACTTGGGCTTATCCCAACATGGTACCTGGCTTTCTGGAGGAAGCATCCCAAGAGGGACCCTCAGAGACCAAGTATCCCTAAGGACCACAGCAGGAGGTGCAAGGCTTCTCCTGACCTAGCAAGTCACCTAGCTTTACCTCCTCCCTATTCTGTTGGTTGGAGCACTCACAAGTCAGTCTCATTCCTCATAGACCCTACCTCTCCATGGAATGAGAGTCAAAGAATTTATGGCTGTGTTTTAAAATGTCCACACAGGACTTGAATCCAGGTCTCCTGACTCTATGGTCATTGCCCTTCCCATCAGAAATGTTGCCTGAGTGTAAGAGCCAGTATGTCCTGAGAGAGGGCTTTAGCAGGGACATGGAGAGGATGTCTTTAACAGGGCTGCATCACTAAGTCCCTGGGACCCTTTGAAAAAAAATGCAGCAAGTAGCAGCACAGCTGGGGAGGTAGAATTCTGGAGTGAGGGCAGGTGGCCCCATCTGGGCTGCTCTGGATGACCCTGCCACAACTCGCTTGCCTCAGGTCTTCCTCTGTGGGAAGGGAACAATCAGTATCTCCTGGCTCATGTGTAGGATGCAGTGCCTTCACATGAGATGTGAAGGCCTTAAGAACTTTCCAACCTGCTCTTCAGAGAGGAGGGAGGCCTCTGTGTCCATTTGGAGGCTCTGCTGCTCAGCCCTGTAGCCCACTGCTTCAGACACACTCAGTGGGCAGGTCAGCTTTCTAAACTCAGCTGGAATCCCAGAAGCCTAACCAGGCCCACTCAGACTAGAGCATCATTTCCTTCCTTGATCATCTATATATATCAAATCTATTATACACTGTTCATTGGACAATTCATCACATCCTGGGAAAGGTAATAAACGTGAAATCACAATATCCTCTTAAAGTCTTGACTCCTGAGTACTAGGTGAGTAACCATGGGCATATCATACAGCCTTTTCTGACCTCAGTTTTCTGCCAGGCAATAATCAGTGTGTCTGTTTCTCAGGAACGTCCTGGGGATTGAATGAGCTGATATGAGAAAGTGTTTCTCATCTGACAAGCATAATGTATGTTAAAAGTTTTTATTATTAGCATTTCCCCTAGCACTTAGCAAGCAGAGTGCTTCACCCACAGCAAGGGCTTAATAAATATGTGCACTTTAGTCTTGATTTACTCCAGACCCCAAATGAAGTTCATGTCAGAAGGAGATTGGACTCTCATCTGTCCTGCTTGCGGATATGTGTCACAGAAGCCCTTCCGTATGAATTGACCACACTGTTTTTTTTCTTACCTGCCAGGCTGGAAGAAAGATAGCAGGCTTTTGTACTGACATAATCAAGCATTGATTAAGGAAAAAATAACTCTGTCAATTTAATTAAATAGCTAAGAATATGCACCCCAACCTCAGGCTACCCACTTCAGGGCAGTGTTGGTGTGAGAAAAGTGGTCTGAGCCTGGATCTGAGGGCTCCTCTTCCAGGAGATTCTGGAAGCTGAATACAATTTTCAGCAACTCACTTTATCTATCAGAGACTCAATTACATTAATATCAGTAATGCATGGAAACAGTTCTCCCGGTGAAAGCCCTCTACAAAAAGAGAGACCAG